AATTGATTTTAAAGCGAGCCAATTTGTGGAGAAACTTTTTAAAATTTGATGGAAAGACAATCTAATAAATTTCAACTCAAGGGGAGAGTGGATAATCTAACTTGAGGAACTCAAAATGAGTTACTTTTCGTATCCATATCCAAAAATACATGCCTGCAAGATTTTTTTCCTTCCTGTGATCAAGGATTGAGAATCTATCACAGATACATCCGTGATAGACGTATGCAGAATTCTTATTTCTGGTTATCATTTTTGTATTTTGACACGTAAAAATGTGTTTTATTTTGACACATAAAAATGTTTTTTATGCAACTCACGCCATGAGAGGTCAGAGGCAAACGGTCGGCCTGTTAAGACCAGCCTCGAAGACCGCGCAAGGTCTCCGACGCTAGCTGGCCCTGTTGAGCGCTAATTACCCTACACCCGTTAGCGGTTGCCAGCTGCCAGCAGCAAAATTAACTTTCCCGCGGCTAAGAAGTGAGGGGAAAGAGTGAGTGTTTATCAGTAACCTTGTTTCAGGTCTCAACCTGCGTGTTATCTTAAGTGATTCATTTGTTTTGGTACCAAACACGCGTTCGTTGTTGCCACCCACCCACGTGCTAGAGGTGGGTCGGTGAGTGGTGAAGGTAAAAGCAAAATCTTTGTTACCTCAATCATCGTTACTATATATATATACTGCTTTGTAGGGTTAAATAATTATTCATTCTCATTTTTAATACACTTTCTTGTTCATTTCTTTCGCATGTTTGAATAAACTTCCCAAACACACAAGGGGAGGGATTCGGAATTTCTGTGACAAATGTCGCTCAATCCTTTTCACTCAAATAGATTGTTTTGTATTATCCCACCTTTTCAGCTGATGGAAAAATCTTAAACTTTCCGGCATCAATTAACTTTAATAAAATTTCCGGCATTAATAAATCGCAGAAGTGAAACTGTAGTGAAACATGCAGCAGGGCGTGAAACTTTAGTAGTCTTTTGGAGTGATTAATTTCTGATAATTTATAAAACCTGAAATAAATTCAGACTCAGCTGACATTGCTCATGTAACTGCACTGAAAGCCTCGACATTAGCGAAGCATTGCCAAATTGTAGTACCTTCCCGCCATGCTTCATGACCTCAAAAGGAAAGACCCCAACTAAAGCATGGATAACGACGAGGCCTTAGGTAGTGTGCCTCATTAGTGGTTATGTTTCATTCCAGACGAAACTAACCCCGTAGTATGTAAAAAATAGTAGAAAAATAATCGTAAATCATAATATTTCAGTTGAGACAAAGGCAAGACCAGACAAATGAAGTGTTAAAGTCGAAAGTGAGTCGCAAAAAAGTGGCTACGGAGTCGCAGCATTACAGCCGCCGGCGTTACGTCTAAAGTCTAAGCCATCGAATGTCATTGCCGTGTGTGTGGCGCTCCTAGCGTGACGTTTGCTGGAACGGCCTTAGTGGTTATCAGTGATGGTGATGAATGATGGTGATGAGTGAGAGCAATGAGTGATGGTAACGAGCAGTGGTCGTAGTGATTTCAAGAGTGATGATGGTGAGTGATAGCTACAAGTGATGCGATGTCAACGAGCAATAGTGGTAATGCATGCAACTAGTGGTTGTGATGTGTGATAGCAGGATGTCATGGTGGCGAATGATGGTGATGATCATGAGTGATAGCAACGATTGATGGTGGCGAATAATGGCGGTAAGGGATAACAACAAGGGATGGCAACAACGGATGGCAAGAAGGGATGGCAACAAGGGATGGCAACAAAGGATGGCCACAATTAAGGGATAACAACAAGAGATGGCAATAAGGGATGGTGAATTATTACGGTAGCAAATAATTTTACAGCCTAAAAATTGGAACTTGACAACAAAGTTAAACCTTGTGAAGAAAGTAGTTTTTCTTCCAAAAAGTATAAAGTTTATCAGAAACAACATTGCAGGCACACTTGATTCTTAATTTTACTTTCATCCCTGTAGTGGCTGGCGGGGCAATTATAACTTTTCACACTCTTGTCTACGTCGTTATTTTTCACACTTTCCACGCTAAAACTAAGTTGGTGAAGGAAGCATTTTATCGGGCATTGAGAAAATTTTCGCTCACTTATGTTAATTTTCACTCTATTTGATGACCTGACAAGCAACCTACAGCAAACAAGGCCGAGAAAACGAGAAGGTTTCTAAGCAAACGCTTGGTCACGTAAGGCGCAGCTGACAGCGGCCGGCTGAAGAAAACTTCCTAATTGGTTTGCTAAGTGAAAACGGTGATTTACAGAGAGGCTATACGCACGCACTTTCGGCTTCACAGATTCACTTCAAGACTTTATTATCCATTTTTGAACTGTGGTCATAACAGAAGGCGATGAATCATGAAGATTTAGTGATATTATTCATCATTAATTCTTTAATTTTTATGTTATAACTGCTTGTTTTTTTATGTTACGTTATGTTTTTAATGTTGTGTTATGTTTTTTAGCAACATTTTTATTTTATAAACATTTTGTTGCTTGCAGAGGCAAATTTTTACTGTGATTTCGGGATTTTATTTAAAAATGCAAGATTCTACTAGGATTATATTGTCACAACGCTTCCCATTAAGACTCCTCAAGTAAAAAGTTCAATTTATACTAACACGGATTCATTTTTATTTTTATTTGCGTTTTCATCCGCGTCGAACGAATTCAATTTTAATATTTTAGGTAATGAAACCGTTGCTTTCAGATGGTTCCAGAAAAAAGTTATTCACATAAATTTTCTTTCTAGTATAATATATCAGACGCAGTAAGGAGCAGTAACAGAACATTTAATATCCTACACGAATAACGTTGCGTTATCAGAACAGAAAACATGCATTTTTTAACCGTACTCAGGAAACTTCAATGCAGATTAGTGACCGATCCTCAGCTCGGGAAAATCATTTAACTTACGACGGTAAGAACAGACTTCAGGTAGGATTAGCATTAGATCGAATAAATTACGCTATGCTATTCCACCAAATTTGAATGAAATCCAACATAGTGGGCTTCTTAAAACAGGTCGTTTTGTATTTAAATAAAATTCCTATATTTCTCACACGAAAACATTAAAACCGATTGCCAATTTTCTGCTAACTACCGTGAAATTTATTTAGATGGTAATTTATTCTCGGAAAATAACAATCCATACAAATGTCCCCCGATGATCTCTACGCAAATATCATTTCTATTCATGATCCTGCAATGATCAATACTCAACAGACCGTATAACCGCAAGTCGAGCGGTTTGATGTAGCTTGTAACAATGCACCATTGTCGCGGGGGCAGTGAAGTACAGGAATGGCCTTCTTATGATTTGAAATAGTGACCCTGACCAAATAAAAACAAAGTCAGAGTTCAAGGAAAATTTTTTAGAAAAATAATTTATAGGAAAATATTTTTAGAAAAATATTACAAAAGACTTATTATAATATTGTGCATCAATATAGTAATAAACTTTTCTGTGTGAAAAATGTTTTAAACTACTAAAATATTTTTAAACACGATTATGGTAAGGTAGCATTTCCACTGATATGTAGACACTTGAAGGATTCAAGGCAAACAAAACATTTATGGTGCATTCGTGTCTCAATCCACGTAGTAATACGAGCACGAATTTATATTTTCACTAATATTTACTGGTGCTTCACGAACAAAGCAAGTTCAGCAGCCGATTGAGATTTTATGGGCATATTATACGGAAACTGCACATTTTATGGGCATATTATACGGAAACTGCACATTTTATGGGCATATTATACGGAAACTGCACATGGGACTTCCCATGCATAGGTATAAACGATCTCAACAATATCACAAATCTAGTAGTAAATACGTACTACGTTTATACGTATATGTACTATGGAAACTACATTTATGGAAACGTAGGATGTATAAAAATGTCAGAAACTGTAGCTACTCTTCTGTATAGATGTGACCTGCAAATTACAAAGAATGTGGAAGGTAGACAAAGAGAGCACGAGTAACGTCTCAAGATAAGAAACTGATAATTCATTAACTATACAAAGAATTTGATACGTTCAAGTAAGGTCGACTGCCAGTAAAGGTCAGCGCGAGCGAACTGATGACACTTATGGATTAAGCGTTGCATGCCTTCTTAATTAAAGCGAGGTCAGAAATTTAGTGGAACGTAGAAGCTTGCTTTAACCCACAATGATATAGTCGGTACAACAACAGTATTTTCATAAAATTGTTAACACTAACGTTATTAATTTTTTTGGAAAGAGATGATAACAATTTCTTATACGACGCGACGTTCATAAAAGAATAAATTATATACTTTTCTACATAGAAGAATTTTATTAATTGATAGCATAGTTCGTTTTATTTTGGTCAAATAACGTCAATATGTTAATAGATAATGAAAATGGAGCTATTTCAAATTTTAGTTTATCGAAAAAATAAAAATTCAATACTCTTTCAAATATCGATTATTCTAGTCCGTCCGTAGCAGTTCAGAAAAATACGTTATCTCTAATATTACCTTCCTTAAATTTTGAAGAGAATCACAAAAATTCTTCCCCAATAACTAAAATATATAAATTTTTCATTCATGAATTACATGAATAAATTGTATTAATACAGCTAGTCATTGAATTACTTTCCTGTTTGGGCAAGCGAAAATATACGAACAGAGAAATCGCGTCATTTCTCCTGGAGAAATTATGGTCTGCTTCAGATTGATTATATTTATTGAGTCCACAGTGAGAAATACTTATTTCATTTCCAATTACGTGCCAAAAACTTTCACAAAAAAATTAATGGTTGAGCTTTCTTCTGCGTGAGCATAAGAAAATTAATTGACATAAAACGATACTCACGTCCGGCTTTATGTTAGCATTAGGGAACGTCGAATAACAATTTCTGAACAACAATTATGCTTAAATTGTACGTTAATATTAACAATGTCTAAACATGCAATAAAAATGCTAAAAACTGCATACAAAAGTCATTTATCCTCAAACTTTACTTACCTTGAAAAAGTTTGATTTCCTTCCTAGGTGACCAGGTCGACGTGTCTTCGTGAAATAATTCAAATAATTAGCACAGGGAAAAAAGAAATGGAGGGAAACAGGATTAAAAGCGAGCAAAATTAATATTAATCAAGTTAAAAATAAAATACAAGACTTGCGAAATTAATGTATGTTAATTATATTCAGCAAGATAAAATTGCGTTTAAAATATTTTATGATTGAAGTTATGATTGAAATGTTTAATAATAAAATATTGTAATGATGTGTACCATAGACAGGGACTTTGTTATTAATTTTAAGGGACTTAATATTTTGATACTGTTTTAATTAAATCAAGAGGCACCGGCATTCTTGAATTGAAATGAGATTTAAATGAATCGAGGTTTTAACCTAAAATATGACACAATAGAGGCAGGAGTTCAGAAAATTTCATGAATAGTGAGCATGATTAACTGAGAGAGTGAGAAAGAAATCGTAAAATAGAAAGTGACTCGAATTTATCGATTAAAGATCGTTGACCTTCGAACACTTAAGGTATGGAAGCCTTTTATACAAGAGGAATAAGCAAGTTCGGACCTATTGAACATTTGCATTAAATTAGCTGGTAAATTCAAGGGAGCTTCACGAATATCTCTGTTCCTGTGAGGGTTTCAGTCTCAGAAAATGGGTGCGGCACCGAAGCACCACCCCACACGACAGTCAGCGACAAACTGAGGGTTGCCTGCTCGCTCTGAGCGGAGCTGCGTGACGTCATCACGGATGATAGCCACCATCCGCGCAGTCGGAAAAAAAACTTGGATCTGGTCTGGAATTTGTTGCCAACGTTATCCAAGGTTGGGCTGGCGTCCATGCACTAGAAAGAACAGCACAATAAAGCATGGCCTTCAAATTCTCCACGTTTCCTTTTCAGATGAAGAGAACGGAAATTGAAGTACCAAGTGAACGACAATAAGTCGTACGATGGTGTAATATTTTAGAACCTCACTAAAAAGGGATTATAGGTGAATTTTCATACCAATTTATTGCATTATTGTGTCATTTGTTCAATTATTCGACCTATTTAAGACGGTATTGACGTTGAATTATTAAATTGCTACTTTATGAAACCTAGAAGAAATAATTTGTCAGCTTACACATGTAGAGCTTACATTCACATTTACAGTTACCTAGTAAAATAAAAATATTTATCTTCTGTGCTCGAATTTCCAATTTAACCTTCAACAATAACATATCACATGCACACTTACATAATAAATTGTTATTATAAAATAATGATATTTGTTATCTGTACTCGAAATTACAAATTAGAATAAAATACTTAAATCTTTATATAACAATATGTGCAAATTTATTTATCATCCATGCCATTTGTCATCAGAAATTTTCTTCAAACCACAGTGGGGACGCCGGCGCGCGGTGATGAGGCCGCCTAATAGTCAGCGCCAGGCGGTGAATATATGCGCACGGACGGGAGGACGCGCGCGTTTTCTCCATACAAGAATTTCACTTAAAATTCTTCTTCCGGAGAGTTCCAGAATTTCACTTGAAGTTATCCTACTCGAGAGTCCTACAATTTCTTTTTTTAGAGATTTCAAGTAAAATCTTTAGTCTTGCCATTTAGTTAGACTAACTTTAAATTTTATCATGAATCCATCGATAGTTTTTTTATTTCCCCCCTGCAAAATTCCTAAGTTTCCCTTACACATTTCTTCCCCCAAAATGAGAGAGAGAATAAACATTAAAAAATTACAAATATTTACAGTAAGAATTTTCTCTTGCTAAATTAATTTAATTAATTATTAAAAATTAATAATTAACTTTTTCTTAAGTTAATGAAGTGTAACAGCATATTAATTAATTGGTCTCGAGAGTTCCAGATTTCACATCGTGAAGGCTCTGGTAAATTGAATTGAGTTAGTGGGGGCTGCAACGGAAACTTTTCAAACTGACAAATCCAGCAATATTACGCTCGTAAATTAAAAAAAAAATACTTAATGGAATGAATCAATAATTTTAAAGATTTAGTGATAACATGGCATGTAACAACATCTGTTATATCTATTCATAATAAAGATCACTGCCTGAAAAGAGATCAAGAGACTTGAAACAATATGGAGTGTAATCTAGCGCGGCTAACATGAAGCAAAAATAAAACTATCACAAAATTAATCCAGTTTAGTACAGACATTTTAACTTCACCAGTTAAGACAAAATTAGTCGCCTAGAAGTTGGGCTAAATTTGCATGTACAATGATCAATTCATCGTAATATCCCTAGCGCTGTAAGTAAATTTTTCAGTTAGTTTAAAAGAAAACTGAAGACTATCTTTACCAGATAGTTTTCCTGCCTTACAGAAAGGTTCTCTCAATATTTGGGAAAATTTGACAACATTTTTTAATCTACATAGTAAACGGCTTCCCCTCATGAATGGGCGTTTGTGTTCGACTGCATTAATTATACAACAGAAAAGAAACTGATGTGCAATTTAGATATTCACAGCATATATCTTATAAACAGATAAATTTCTTAGAGCGGTAAAGTTTAAAAAATTGTTGACCAAATTTTCTATTCAGAAGAAAATCCATTCAGGCTTTCAGAGCAAAACGACTGTCTACAACAAGTAAAACCGTCAATTGATTTAATGATAAAAACATTGCTAAATTTAAGAAAATGGTTAACCTTGATCAATTTTTCTCCCGAGCTTGCATAGGAATTTGTATAAATTAAAAAATAGATTATTTTGCATGCTCACTGGTCCGCATTTTAATGATTCGAAACGGTGCTGTGCACCAAGATTCGTAACGGTGCTGTGCACCAAGATTCGTAACGGTGCTGTGCACCAAGATTCGTAGCGGTGCTGTGCACCAAGATTCGTAGCGGTGCTGTGCACCAAGATTCGTAGCGGTGCTGTGCACCAAGATTCGTAGCGGTGCTGTGCACCAAGACAGCCGACACCCTCACCTCGCTGCCTTGCATGCAATGCGCAGTTAGTCGATGGCGGCGACCTTCCTGCTTCCGAATGTTCTTCCGCATTTGCATGATGATTGCTCCCATTATTTCTTGGGGCTGGGAGCACGAGTACCGAAATTATGCGCCATGAAAAAATATCCGGGTACTGAGAGTTGAAATGAGAATGTGCTTTCAAAACAAAAAAATAATAATTCAGTACTCACTGCAGTGAGTGACAGAGAGCGCATTTTCTCGTCGACGAATACGTGGTCACGGACGGACGAACGGACGGACAGACAGACGGACAGACGGACGGACGGACATGACGAGCACAATAGCGCCTTTTTTCCATAAATGAGAAAATGCGATAAAAACCAGAAGTCAGATGAGAACGAAAAATAATATAAGATGTACAAAAAGACTTGAAAAAAGATGCATTATGGCGAAAGATGCATTATACATTAAGTCGTTCTGCCCAACTTTGCTATGTTTGACAGACTCCACCATATGAATATTTCTACACATTCCGATCAGAAATGATTTCCTAGCTTCCAAAAATAAAGCGATGTTTTAAAAGAGGCACAATAGCCTTGTCGAGTGAAAACTCGCGTTATTGACATGATGGAGTCATGGAGTCCTTCATCGTGGCTGGCTATGGCGCCTATACATCCAAGTGAGCCAGTGAGTGCTCGAACCCGAAACTAAGCCTATAACATGTCAGTGTCAGCTGTAAGTGAGATGCGACTTTAAAACGAAATCCTGGGTTGTCAGTTCCACTGAATCTTCCGTCAGTGACCGCTAGATGAGCCTTGGCAGGCATTCCGGGTCCGCAGATCGCACAAGAAGGTTAGCTTTGATGCGCGCTCAAGTCAGAGTTCGCGGCCTCTTCTGTTCAAGAGGGCGTCAGGCGCTGAGCTCTGGATTCTTTCAGCCAATCCTCCTTTCAGCCTCCTTTCAGCCTACTTCCAGCCAATCCTCAGCCAACCTTCCAGCCGATCCTCCTTTCTTTAAGTCTCCCATCTGACTCCCACGGGTGCTAGTAGTCAATTTTATACGTAACATGAACAGTATTTGTATAGATATTGAACAGTAGCAGTATTTTTATACATACAACAAATGGTAATTGGTTTAAGGTATCAGGCTTCAGGTTAATGTGTCAGAATCCAAAATTTCTAAAATTTTTCTCTGTTTACTTAGATAACGTAAAAAATTACAATTGACTACCAGGTATTATCTATGAGATATGAGACGCGTACATATGTATATGAGACTCTATGATATGAGACTCTGTACATGCTTATAACTGAAAAAAGTGAGCAAACGTTTATCATACCCAAGATTGGGACTGAACAAGCCTAACTAAATTCCTAAGCAAGAGCTTAGCATATACCACTGGAAAAAACACAATCTCCAAGTCTGTGCTTAATTTCATAATTTTAAACATTTAATTATAAATATATTTCATTACATTGATAATATTACATATGCAGCTATCAAACAGATAGCTGTTCGCCATGCCCCTCTAGAGATCCGGCTTATATGTGTCAATCGCCTTCCTACTAATGCAAATAGCTGAGCTATAATTGACTGCAGTATTATTACAGCATTTTATTTATTGCACAGTGCACACTCGCTCCCTAAACATGCTTATGAACCAGCCACGGTTAACCTTGGTTGCTGTCAAGTAAAATTAAAATATAAATTATTTTGGCGCAAAGATCAGTCTTTAGAATACTATTAAAATAATTCACCTAGGGCTGCATAACAATTAACAAATCCGTATACGTACATGCATCACATAATTTATTAATTAATTTAATATAGAGATTGTACAGTTTTTATTTATTAGGAGAGGACGTCTGTAACTTTCTAGTTTCGCCTCATTTCTTCTATCATCCTCACGAATAAATTCCTAATTTATATAATAACAAAGTATCAATATACCATTAAAGTTTAAAAGCTTTTCAGGCGTACTTGCATAATTTTTTAAGTCATTTAACTTCAATATATGCTCGTTTAGCCATCGCTCCTGGTAATAAATTCTAACATCACTCTTCTGTAGCATGAAGTATTATGATGGGAACGTTTCAAATACCTTTTGTAAAGGAAAGAACAAACCTTGATCACGTCTCTGAACTGAACGCCTAACAACGATATTTTAGTGT